AACGGTCAATCCCTAAATCTTGAGCTTAAGAACACCCGATCCTGGAGTCCCGATAAAGGTCCTATCCCCCCCTTTGTTAATATATTATGTAAGTTGATTGATTTTGTTTGTAGCATAACGTCCAGTGGCAATATTTCATTCATGTTCAAATCGAGTATATTTTTTCGGACGTCACAAATATCATTTATAATCGTTATGGATAAGTCTGTCTAAATTGAAGAGATGGTACAAATGTACATACATATACAACACTTTATTAATATCCCTTGCAATACACTGTACAATTTCCGTTTGAACATTTGACAAAACAGAAGCTGAAATCATGTAAATCCATGTGAATTACGATTAAAAACAATGTATTAAATGCATCGAGCTAGGAATTCGAAGAGACAGATAAAAGTGGGGAACGAAGCAACGTAAACAATGATGTTTATATCCCATCATATACAAATATTTTTCCGATGTGTTGGATAACCTATCTATCGGCCTCGATATTTGTACCTGTAACTTTTGAAAAGAAAATATAGAAAATCTGCTTATCAGTAAAGTTTATATAACTATTTTTTTTAAATTTAATAAAATTAATATTTCGAATTAAAATTAAGTGTTTTTGAATTGTTCTGATTTGAAACACATATACGTAAATTATTAAGATAACAGTCGTTTTAATAAAATAAATGTTCAAATGAACACGAAGTTTATTTCTTAATTTACACGATCAGTTAACGCGAAAAGTAAACGCGCGTTTACTTCCAAGTGCACGTAAAATACATTAATGAAATCTGTAGTAAACGCCCGTTTACTTTTAAGTGCATGTAAAAATAAATTTGTGAAATCTGAAGTAAACGCCGTAGACATTAGAAATTTCCATTTGATCGCGTTAACGTAATTAAAGTAAACGCGCGTTTACTAGTAAACGCGAAAATTGAAGTTAACTAACGAAATATGTGCACGCGGCGTTAACTTGCGTTTACTTTATGTTATGCTTGGTCTGCACCCAACTGTACCTTTTTGCGTAAAATAAGCTTAAAGCAATCACTTCAATTTACCCAAAAATACTCACATGCTTTGAATGATATATTTGTCTTCATAACTTAATAAAAAAAAAAAACACGCTTTTTGAAATAACAAACACATATGTCAGGCGGTTTGAAAACGGACCACCCTTTTTTATTTACCTTTTCTTGGGGGGGGGGGAGAGGGGGTTGATGAAAAAAATTTAGTAAATATTCTGTAATATTTCAACTTATTTTCACTTCTTAAATGTGTTCTTGCTCTTTTCCATACACTATTACAATTTCAGTCGGATGCGGATCCAGGATTTTGAAAAAAGGGGAAACTAAACTTAATTTGGAGTGGAACAGTTAAAGGTCTCCTTCTTCTATGTTACGAGTCAGACTCTGCAATTGAGTGTAATTGACTCGGCTGCATCTCAAACAGACAGGAGGCCATTCCGTTTGGTCAAAAGTAAAAGTACAGGAAAACTGCATGATATTTACATTAAAATCATTTAAGTGCGTATTTACAAATATGTACGCTGGGTATCCTGCTGTCCAGTTGAGATGTGGCTGGTTCAAAGCGATGGTTTTCACTCTTGCCCTAAAGTCCTCTAATGATCCGGACTCCACTTCAGATTCTGGTAATTTGTTCTATACTCTTGGTGTTCTCGGGAAGAAGGAATGATAATAAACGTCTCTCTTTACTCTAGCTTCTCTAAGTTTGTGGTTGCCTCTGGTCCTACTGTCACCTGATGTGAAGTACATGGCTGGATCAATGACAATCAACTGATGCTGGGCCTAATAACATTGCACGTCTGTGAACATGTTCTATATCTCGTATCATGGTGATTTGGTGCGGGTCCCATACTGGAGAATCATAATCTAGTGTAGGTCTTATTATGGTGGAGTATGCTGTGGCTTTTGTTGCTGCAGTACACCTGCCCAGATCAATACACAGCAGAAAAGCATCTAACAAAAACCCAGACCGGACGTGGCAGGGTATTTATACATCTCTCAGATCACAAAAGACACAAAGTGAAGATCTGAGAGTACACGCAGTTACTTACAGCTAGTTCGAAGCTAATGAAAACTAATAAAAAAATCAATCAGTACACATTCAATATTCAATAGATTTAGTGTAAATACGTCATTAACATCCAGAGAAAAACATGACCAAGTGCAATGCCAAAATAAAGGTATCGTTGCATTGTAGTACCATGAAAATGTAAATGTGTATAACAATACTTTTATGTATGGGTTTAATTGAAATTTACTGATAACAAAATCAATATGTATACCAATAAAAATAATATTCAAAGATCCAATTACAGCGTTAAACTGGTAACCTTTTAGAATAAGTTTATTTGAAGAATTGATAAGTTTTTACGGATCGTATATAAATTTCCAGGCTCGGTAAACAACATCACCGTAAAATTTAGGATGTGCTATTCCGCCTGAAAGAAGATTTTATATAGGTACAGCCAAACCAAATCTTTGTATCTATGGAAGAATTTAGTAAAGGTTTTACGTAATTCGTGGTAAAGAAATCTCTGACTTAACAATTAGCCAGTAATACAGAGATTACGCTCTCTGAAATCCAAAACGTTACTACAGACACGGGCATAGCGAACGAGTTTTGATCTATAAACACCGTAATACGGTGCCAAAGGAACATCACTGTCCAAAAAAGAAAAAATGAACAAAAGGTAAAGAAAATTCATCTCTTTTGATGTCAAACTGAAATATCTAAATCTAGGAAAGGTCACTTATTTCTGTTAATATTTGATTTATTTCAGGTAAGTTCATTTGTGTAAATTTCGGCAGTATATTTAGGGAATTTTTGATTATTTAACGAAAAAATATCATCAAGATAACAGTAAGTGATGTTGAGTTTATCAATTAAATGGAACTTAGACGGGTCTTTACTGAGACTGCCCATAAATTGTGAAACATAACAGTACATGAACTAGTCTGCTATAAAAGGAGCATAATTTATGCTCATAGGAACACCTACAATCTGTCGATAAACTTTATTGCCGAAACGTACATAAACGTTGTCAAGCAGAAAATTTATGGCTTTACTCATCTCATCACACCTCAAGTAAGTATATCTAGCATATTTAACTTTCTTATTTGAGAAAAAGGCTTTTTATGAGTTGCAACAAATAAATTTGGATCAGCTTTATCAAACGACTGTTTAATTAAAATGGAAAGCTTTTGTTTGATAAGATTGTGTGGAAGTGTAGTGTAAAGAGTAGAAAAGTCAAAACGGTCAACCAAATCAAAATAACCCTCAAAAGCACGTAATTCATCTAAGTCATCCAAAGAATTTTTTACATTCCTAAAATGGTTAATTTCGCTATTTTCATATGTTTTATTATAAAAATTAATGATTAATTCTTTGATAGTCGTTAAAGAACTCGTTAAAAGCACTCAAAGATTAGTAGTAGAACACTTACACTAGAGGCCGATATGAAACGATATTTTATGGGTTTTGTGTGTAGTGTAGGTAACCAAAACATAATGGAGACCTTCAACTGTTCAGAGGAGGTCTTCAGTTGAGCTGTGGTAGTGACATGATTATTTCCTATATGACTATCTGTGGAGCGTACGGCCTTGAATGTAGTTGAATGTATAATTTCATTCTTCAGAACTTCCGTGTAGTATTTACGTCATACCACCACCACATTATTTGTTGCTTTGTTGGCCGGTACGACCACAAAACGCTTTGCGAGTACATTGATTTTGTTTTTAATTCTAGAAATTGGCGTATTACTTATTCTTTTATTTATTTCTGAATTATTTTCGAAATGTGATATGCGAATATAAACTATATTTAGACATTTATTCAAATAGGAATCAAGTGACTTTTTGTCAGATTTCTCCCGTTAACACCATTTTTACAATAGGATGAACGAGCATCTTTAATAACCTTACAACAAGCATAGGTTGGCGCCTGTTAAAACGTTTAAACCTGCTGCATTTTTATGCACCTGTCCTAAGTCAGAAGCCTGTTGTTCAGTGGTTGTCGTTTGTTTGTGTGGTTCATAAGTGTTTCTCGTTATCGTTTTATATATAGATTAGACCGTTGGTGGTTTTCCTGTTTGAAAAATGTTTTACACTAGTCTTTTTGGGGCCCTTTATAGCTTCTGTTCGGTGTGAGTCAAGGCTCCGTGGTGAAAGCCGTACTATGACCTATAATGGTTACTTTTTACACATTGTGACTTGGATGGATAGTTGTCTCATTGGCACTTTTACCACATCTTCTTATTTATATTCGCAATTTATTGCATACTCTTTTGCAACACCTTGCCACAGACGATTTCAATGTTGTGTATATTTGTTTGGTCTCTTTATATTCATGCGTAATAACTAATTTCAGGTATTCTTAAAGCCCAATAACACTGTTCACTGTTGTTTGTTTTTAACAATACATTTTTCGTTTCTCTTTTGTGTTTTTGTTTTGTCTTGTTGTGTATTTATATGTTTTTTTCTATGTACTCTTCTATTTCTCTTTTGGAGGTTGTTTGTGTCATGCAGTGTCTTCAGGTTGTTTGTTTTTTTTGACATTTTTTTTCAAACATTTTTATTTACACTAATTGGACTACAGGTGTTGATTCAATACGAGTCTGTCTTTGACCTTATTCTGGTCTCTTCTGACACATATTGTTTTTAAAAATATCAACCATAGAAAAACAAATCAGTACATGCAGAGCAAAAAAACACAAAAAGCAAAGAAACATTACTTTTTTTGCTGTTTTTCATCTGAAAGTCACATCGAGGCCTTCAACACGGAGCAAAACAACTTTCACTTCGCTGCAAGTTTAAGACGGTCCCTAGCATCGGCTTCTTTGAGATTCTTTGCAAAAATAATTTGGATAGACTTTGAAAGATGTAACACCACCAAATCAACCCCTTTTCAAAAAGAACATACTGAAAAGTAGAACATATCTAAAACAAAGTAGTTTATTCTTTTTATTTCTTTATTAGGAAAAGGTTCATTCCAGCTTCCCTCACTGATTGTGAATCGTGGTGCTCTGCAGATTTAGTTGCGGCATACTGCCGTTGTAGCACTGAAATAAAAAAGGTTTAAATGTTGTTATTTCACTACATATTGAATATATACACTAAAAACGGGAACATTTAGAATTGATAAAAAAAAACCAGAGCCTATGTATACTAGTTTACAAATCGTAAACACCTGATCCATATTTCAGTCAGCTTGGAATCATCGATACACAATTTTATTTCAGTAACATTTGATATAAAAATAAACAAATGGACTGTCCTGATTTGTGCACCAACAATAAACAAAATAGAATCCACGTTTATTTCCTATATATAACATGATACATATTTATTATAAGGTTAAATCCTAACTATCCTACTGCATGTCGATACTTTTATTTTGGTATTGCACTAGTCATGTCTTCTTTGACTGTCAATGGCGTTAAACACTAAATCCCTGGGATGTATTTAATTGATTTCAGTATCTGATGCATGACTTTTTATTAATAATTGTTTTGGCTTTTAACTAGCTTTCAGTAACTGCGAGTACTATTGTGTTAATTTGACCTGTTGACACAATTTGTAATGCATTTCTGTTATTCAATGTATATTTATTTTGTTTTATATCTCGTCTCACTATTTTTTATATGTACCACCTTTGATAAGTATTTAGTATGACGATACATTTTCTCTTCTGTACTCATACTGTAAACTACAAATTTATTTATTTTGTAAAAATTGTTTCCACACACCTTACAACAAAATAATAACATTTAAATTTACCGGTGTATGTTACATTATTTAACGCCATATTGTCCTAGGTTAAAGTTGTCTTTTTTTTTTGTTACACTACTGTTTCAGGTTAGGGTGAAGGTTGGCGCCTGTTAAAACGTTTAAACCCGCTGCATTTGTATGCACCTGTCCTAAGCCAGGAGCCTGTTGTTCAGTGGTTGTCGTTTGTTGGTGTGGTTCTTATGTGTTACTCGTTTCTCGTTTTTTATATAGATTAGACCGTTAGTTTTCCTGTTGGAATTGTTTTACACTAGTCATTTTAGGGCCCTTTATAGCTTGTTGTTTGGTGTGAGACACGGCTCCGTGTAGAAGGCCGTACTTTGACCTATAATTGTTTACTTTTTGACACATTGTGACTTGGATGGAGAGTTGTCTCATTGGCACTCATACCACATCTTCTTATTTAAAAATACAATTATAGCAGACAGCAACACGCAAGTACCACTTGATAATAGGCTCTTTATGGTAGACAAAGAACTCAAACATAGTGGCTGGGTTAATATACCCATTAGAAGATGCCGTATGATAGCCAATTTAACATCTTTCCATCTGAGACTAAGATATGTAAGCAACTGTTTGTTACCGAAAGGCCTTTACCAATGAGAAACCCATACCGCATAATAAGCATGCATCCAGCGGATTTAGTGTAATGACGTCACCAGCAGTCTGAGAAATACATAACCTTGTATAATACTAAAATATAAGTATCAATAGGAAAAGTTTTAATTACTATACCATGTATACAGCAATACATATTATATACATGTGTTAATTCATAAATACTAGTACATGATTCAATGAAATTACTGAAAAAGTCAAAAGTAAATGGTCCTACCAAAGTGTTGAATTGATAACCTTCCCAGAATATATTTATTTAAAGGATCAATAAATGTCTATGAATCGGATCTACACTTTTGGACTCTATAATTAATATCATCGTTTTTAGAGTTTAGAAATACACACCGTAAGATTTGATAATAATAAAAAAACACGACCGTCGAAAAGTGAAAACGACGTAAGTTTGTCGTAGTTTTGCATTTGTATAGAGTGACCTGTCTGGATTTGAAATATCTAAAACAAAAAAAGGACAACCACTGTTTTTGATATAACATTTATGTTTTGATAATTCAAAGGACAAATATCACCCAAATATTGTATTTTCTATCAATTAGATTTAAAGTTTTGCTATAAACTACTAATAATAACAATATAAATTTCTGTTTTTTAAGAGGAAAGTAGTGTTATTTACAATACATACTTTTGATATTAGCAAAAGCATACATATATATTGTCAAAGAAATCATTTACATCTTTAATCATCTCATTACAGTCCTGGTTTTGGTAAAGTTAGTATATTTATCTTTTTTTTTCATTTCAGAAGAATGCTTTGTTTATAGTTTAAATTGGACCGTTACTTGAAATGAGAAATGATTATGTTGAAGTATATTGTAGAATATACAATAAAAAAAAAATCCTAACTGTCAACCCCACTTGAAGACCATCACGCTTTAAATTTCAAACAACCAACTAGTTTTTACACTCCAAAAATAATTCCAAATTTCATTATTTCCAAATGCTTATTATAAAATCATTTATAAATTCTTTGATTATAATAAAGGGACCAGTTGAATGAATAGAAAGATTATTTGTCGTCCACTTTCTATTAGTCGGATTGAAACGGGTTTTATGTGGGCTAGTGATACAGTAGATTAATCACTTAGACCATCGGCCACTAAGACCCCCTGTGTTCTCACTTGATGTCTTTGTTTAATGTTGCAATTTCCATGTTTGATAGGGAGCAACAATAAATCATTGAAACTATCGTTTGTCACATTTGCCTGATTGCCAGGTATTGACGCTTTTAACGTGTTTGCAGTAATGTGATCGTACATAATTACCTTTTTTCACATATGTAGTACGAGGGTAGTTTGCACTCTCTGTCATTCCATTTGTATCGAAACATTGCAGAAAGTAGAATACAACCTTGTCTTCCATCCTTATTGGATGGCTGCCCATATGCCCAATCCGAAACTGTTATTTTCTGGTTGGTTGAATCCCAGTTGAAATCGAACTTTCCCTTTCCGATACGTTTTCCACCAATCCAAAACCCTGTAGAAGACAAGTTGAAGTGCAAAACATGAAAGCATAATAACTTTCATACTTTATTTTTTATTTTTTTTTTTTGGAATTAAGACAAAAACAAGTTGAAATCAAATATCCGATCAAGGAAACCATCTGGCGTTCAAAACATAAGTCAGAATGCTTAAGATTTAACCACACAAATACCACCAACACCAGATGTTAAAAACAAATTACAGAATTTGTGTACCAATTGTCGCTACCTAAATACCGTTCTCTTTTCCCCGATTTTGATATCACTAAATAAAACTTTTCATTGAATTTGTACTTACATGAGCCACACGGCAGGTGCAACATGCTAAACCTGAGATCACTCTTGGTTTTTGATGGCTTGTGTTGCTCATTTTTCTGTGCAACGTGTCGTGGACTTATTGGTCTTTTGTGTTTTTGATTATTTCAGGATGCTGTCAGATCTTTTTTAATAATGCATTTCAAATGTCTGTCCCCTTGGTATCACCATCTCTTTCTATCGTCGGTTCTCAAAAGGGTGAGCATATTGGTACCTACTACTTGCTCTTATCAAAATGTTCATTGCATGAAAGTCAAATTTCTTTAATCAGTAGAAGCCAATACATTCATAAAAAAGAGGCGGAAGATAACGAAGAAAAATTAAAAAAAAAACATAAGTCGACGAAAAACTCGCAACATCGATCATGACAAACAACTAAAAACAACGAAAATGATTAATATAAATAAGAAGATGTGGTATGAGTGCCAATGAGATAACTCTTCATCCAAGTCAAAGTACGGCCTTCAACACGGAGCCTTGGCTCAAACTGAACAGCAAGCTAGAAAGGGCCCCAGAATGACTAGTGTAAAACAATTCAAACAGAAAAAACCAACGGTCTAATCTTTATAAAAAACGAGAAACGAGAAACACCTATGAACCACACTAACAAACGACAACCACTGAACAACAGGCTCTTGACTTATGACAGGTGAAAACAAATGCAGCGGGTTTAAACGTTTTAACAGGTCACAAAACGCTACATAGAAAAATAGAGATTAAACAGCACAAATCCTACATCATGAAAGACGTTCGGACGAACTTGAAGTAACAAAATTTCCATTACTTTGGATTTCATCAATTCGAGCATCACTGACGAGCAATTTACAAGTTTTGTCGGAATGGGCATCTGGTGCAGTAAAAATGGTACCGTTAATGTAACAGCTCGTTTTAATTCGTATACTCAAAAAGGATAAAGACGATTTTAAGGGGATATTAAAAAATCATAAGTCTAATAGAACAGATCATACCATGGCCAAAAATTAAAAATCGACGGCAGGACAAACCATTTTAACAAAACTTCCAATAGGAAACTGAAAACTAAGCAACACGAATCTAACAAACAACCGGAGTTGAAACCATGTGTTTTAGAAGAGTTAAGAATTCCTGTTTCATGTTGCATACGTCTCAAATGTCATTTGGTGTTGAAAATAGATTGCATTATGACTTTTTGAATAATTTAAAAGTACGTCACTTATCTTTTACCGTCACTATGTTGTAGCATTTTCATTCATGTTTGCAATTTGTGTACGGTAAAAAAAAATGAAAAAAAAATAACTACTTTTCAGTACATTAAATACAATGCCCTGTACGATAGCATGGACCGGGTCTTTATAACGATCCAAGGCTAATGCATTGTGTCCCTTATCTAAACTATTGTTAAGACGTCTTTTCAATATTACCTAATTTCCTAATTATCAGTGAGTCATTCAACCACATTATTATCTTGAATGATTCACAGGAACAACCATAAATTCTAAGTAAAGACGGTGGATTCAAATCATGAACAATATAAAAAAAAAAATTATATGACTTTCAGAATACTGTACTGAAATTTCCATTTATTATGAATCTGAATATTATCCATTCTTTACAATACAATGCATATTCGAACTTCTTCTTAGTAAATTGTGTTGCCAAATTTCCAGCAAGAAAACTAATTATAGACACATCACGAATTACTCTCATAGTGATTTACTATCAATAACATATTTCTAGCATAAATTTAGCTAGCGTGAAATTAAAGTTGGATGTGTATTTGCATGACAGGTGATGCGTGCATATCAGGAGACGCTTAACCTGTCGACACATCAGATATAGCTCTTTTTTGAGTTCATGCTATTGCCTCAGGTTGACTCTTGTATGTTTTGAATTGATTTTAAAGATTGGAATATCGGTCAGTAAGCTATTGTTTTTCTTAGTTTTAATACCATATAATATTTGCTATAATTCGATTTAAAGGGCTCGACCATTAAATCGCGTAATCAGAGTAAGACCAGCAATAGTTCATTAGCGGGTCAAAGCAGACGCGCATGTCTAAATTTATTACACTACATATAAATTAACTGTTCTTGCACTCCTCATCACAAATTTTGCAAACGCTATCTTCAAGGATTTATATTGATTTAAGGTCAGATTATTGAGTTAATTTAGTATACACATGATTACTTGATACCCACCCAGCCTCTCCCTTTATTTTCGATACCGCTGTTTTTGTTTTTATTTTACAGATTTATGTGTGTTGTCTGTACATATACTTCAACTTTAAAGAAAACCTGTCACGGCTTCTGGATCTGTTTGTGTTTATGTAAACACAAATAACCGAACTATGACCTCCATATGGTGAAGTGATAATGTATTGACAATAATAATGCACTGATCAAAGATGATGTTATGACCGTCTGTTGCCAGAGGTCATGGACGGCGGACTTTATAGGCTGCACCAGTACCGAAAAACTGCATTTATTATTATTTAGTTTAGAACATTAATCCATTTAATCTTCATTTACACTTCAAACGTAGTTTCTCATGTTGATTTGGACATCTGTTGCCAGGGTTAAATTCAGCACACTATTAATTCATAATTTCATTACATTTTAGTTTTATTTCAATTTTAATTATCTATTCTATTTTAAAGATGTGATTTGCAATTTTAATATACGGTTACCCAAAGACCCTTTGTTCATGGGTTGGTAACCGACAGAAGCCGTGATCTTACTTCGCCAATAAATATATATATTATTCTTAACATGTGTTATCTCTTATAACAAAGGTTTATCGACTATCTGTACGTTAAAAACGTTTGCTTACACTTTCTTTTTTTGAGTGAAGCAATCCTCCTTACAGCTTTTATTTCTTCAAGGGTTTCCAATTCTGCCAGCCTTCCACCTTTTGCTTGACAAGACGACTGAAAAACATAAATCTAGTTATCCTACGATATGATATTGTGTGTTATTGATTTGTACGAATTTGTGTTCAGTTATCTTTTATGCCTTTTTTTCAAAGATTACTGGTTTTAATGTACTGAAATTTGTTTCTTTTAATCCACTGATCAAGATTAAAAAACAAAGGGGGACGGAGAGAATTTGAAAAATGTTTTTTAGCCCATCACATATACATGTGCTTGTCCAAATGTTTTGAGAAAACTTATCAGTAGTTGTCTTATGACTCACTGACCAAATGAATTTAAACGATAAATGATAAGAAGATTTTTCATAGAAGAAATTTGTTAGTTCGTTGATAAGGCATGACCAAAAGTGGCTGTAAAAGAATTCGGACAAGATTCGATGACTGGTATTGACACTACTTTTTGTGTTTTATTGTTTATAAGCTTTTCAACGGTTGTAATAACTTTTATGATTGATCAAGTGATTGTTGGTTGATTAACGTCCAGTGAAAAATATTTCATGCTTTTCAGGACGAGAACAAATTATAAACAAATACAATAGGTATGTCCTGTATCAGAGGCTGTCCATGATGAAGTTCGGGGAAATTCAAACTGCCACGTGAAAATGAGGGTATATTGGATAGGGACAGCAATTTAGCTTCATTATTATTAACACTCTCTTTGCACGAGGCATTGGATTTAACGTCCCCATTAAGACCGGACGTGGCTGCGAACTTGTACATCCCGTACAACCAAACGGACGCCAACTTTTGCGAAGATTTTACTGCCGGTCGGAGGAAGACCAATGGTGGTCATATTTCAATTCCACAGTCACAGTCCAGAGTGACTGCTATTTTCTACATAAGAAATGCGCTGTACCAACTCAACTCAGGAATATGACAGACGTTTTCCATTCGCTTGATGGGTTTGAGCTTTTGATTTTGCCATTTGATAAAGGACTTTCTGTATTGAAATTTCTTTGGAGATCGGTATTTTTTTTTTTATTTAACTTTTTATTGCTGTTCTTCACATCTCAAAATGAATGAATCAAAATAAACAAACCTGAGCATAGTTCCATGGCAGTTTCTTCCCACTAAAAAAATAACAGCGTGTTCCTCTTAAAGTCCATCCGAATTTACAAGTTGGTACTGAAATAATCAAATACAGATGGCATTTTTAAACAATGAGTTATAAACAGATATAGGTGTGATAACAGCGTGTTCCTCGTAAAGTTCATCTGAATTCATAAGGTGGTACTGAAATAATCAAATACAGATGACATCGTTAAACAATAATTTATAAACAGATATCGGTGTAATAACAGCGTGTTCCTCGTAAAGTTCATCTGAACTCACAAGTTGGGACTGAAATAATCGAATACAGATGACATGGTTAAACAAAGGCAATAGTAGTATACCGCTGTTCGAAACTCATAAATCGATAGAGATAAAAACAAATCCGGGTTACAAACTAAAACTGAGGAAAACGCATCAAATATAAGAGGAGAACAACGACACAACAAAAACACAACATTAAAATGTAACACACACAGAAACGAACTATAATATATCAATTTATAAACAGATATAGGTGTAATAACAGCGTGTTCCTCGTAAAGTTCATCTGAATTCACAAGTTGGTACTGAAATAATCAAATACAGATGACATCGTTAAACAATGATTTATAACAGATATCGGTGTAATAACAGCGTGTTCCTCGTAAAGTCCATCCGGATTCACAAGATGGTACTGAAATACAGACGGCATTGATTTATAATATGGAGTAGGATATGCTTACCCTTCCGGAGCAACTGACATCTCCCCCTGAATTTTTGGTGGGGTTCGTATTGCTCAGTCTTTAGTTTTCTATGTTGTGTTTTGTGTACTGGTGTTTGTCTTTTTTCTTTTTTAGCCATTGTGTTGTCAGTTTATTTCGATTTATGAGTTTGAATGTCTTTTTGGTATCCTTCGCCTCTCTTTTATAAAAAAATAACAATGTATGTTAATAATTGCATTACTCTTATTTGTGTACTACTTATTTGACATTTTACAAACCTCAATCCCCGATGAAGCTTGTAAAGTTTGCAATGTTTCTCTCTCATTTGGAATATTTTGTATTAATATTGTATGATAATTTTAGAATAATTGAAATCAATAAACTGTCGCTAATCAGTAAGAGTGACACTTAAATTAAGCTTTTACACCATTTGATGATTTGATACATTATAAAATAAGTAGAAATCTTTCCTCTCATCAAAGATATCTTTAAAAAAAATAATAACGATATATTTTATTACGATTAACGGAAATCTTGCATTTATATGATGTGATTCATTTTTCGACAATTTTATCTTAGTCACTGATCAAATCAGACAAATTCTTAAAATTTACTGCACTTTAGTGCTTTCCGTGTACTTTTAGAATCTGACGCTTCTCTTGCAGATACAGAACTCCAAATAATCAAGTGAGCTACTTATTCGCTAAGCAATAACAATGATTTATACCACTCTTCCGGTATTAATGACGAAATTTATCATTTTCCAAGCATTGATGGTAATATAATTTACTCACCCAGCATCAATGTTAAATCATGTCATTCTTTATGAATTGTTAATGAGATATATCACTCACCAAGCATTAATGATGAAACATATCAATCTCTTAGCATGATGTATCATTGATCAAGCATTATTGATCAAACATGTCATTCTTCAAGCATCAATGGTAAGATATATCACTCAGCAATCGTTTATGATGAAACAAGTTATTTTCAAGCATTAAAGATGTGAAATATTACTCACGCATTTATGATAATACATACCAATATCTTAGCGTTAATGATGAGATATATCATTCACCAAACATTAATGATAAAACATTCTAATATCTTAGCATTAATGATAAGATATATCCTTCACCAAACATTAATAATGAAACATACTTATATTTTAGCGTTAATTATGTAAATTATGTTTTCAATCGACTTTCATGGTCAATTTCTAGATGTAAGTCAAGATATGAGGCAGACTTAACTGTATCTGTTGTATCCGTTATCTCAAGTTCGAAGGGACTAAACTTTTGTCTGTGTTACTAGAATAAATTGGATTCACAAAATGTTTTGACGATTTCACTGTATTTTTTGGCAATTTTTTACATATTGCAAAAAGTCGTAAAACTGGCACACCCTCAATTAAAAAAGATTGTGCATATTTTGCAATTATTGTGAAGAGGTTTTTTAAATACACACCGACTATTAATTGTTGATATGTTAAACACCGATAATTAATAATTTGTTTAAAGTATGAAGGTGCAACTCTTCAATTGGAAATCTCAAGTGAAGGTCCGGTAAAGGGCGAGTTATTTCACCTGTGAGATTATCGGAATTTATCACAAAGGGAAATTCATAAAAATCACCTTCATCTGTATGATGATGAGACATATTATTCTTCAATCACTTATGATTAGATGTGTAACTCTCCATGCATAACTAATGATATATATATATAAATATATATAGAAGTCTATAAAAAGGACCAACCAGCAAATATTTATATAAATATATATATATATAACAGTCAACGCAATCATAGGTTTGAACGTTGTTTTCAATTTAGACTCATCTATATTTAACAGTCATTATTATTACGATTTAATACTAACAAACACAAAGCTATTATTAAGACGTGTTATATTACTCTCCAAGCATCCGTGCATCAATAATATTTCATTTAGTGAAACAATTAATGCATATATAATGCTCTGAATTTGTTTATTAGTTCGGCTTTACAGTCTTGTTTGGTAACATCACCTTGCAACTACTGTTTAATTGTTTTGAACAAAATTTTAAAAGGAAATTGAATATGTTTTATATACCTAAATGGAACGAGTCAATCAAATCAAATCAAATCAAAATAAAACAAGTGTACGTGGGCTTTCTTGTAAAAAGAAAATACTTTATCTTTTCAAAATCTTAGAAATAAACTGCCATTTAAGCTCTAATTCCCCGATATATCCGTATACAGTGACCTTTGTTACGAGACCTCTCGTTAGAACTTCGGCCACCGCACAAATGGGAACGCATGGTAAATATGAAAAAACATAACATCGCTCTTTAAATTCACTTTTGTTTACCGTGCTGCACGATTCTGTATTGGTTGTTTATCAATATCACGATCCGGTAGACTTCGGCAACAATCTCGAATGTTATTTAGCTTGCAATCAACAATCACTGAATTAAATAGCATTTGTCGATACTACGTTTAACTTATACATTCGTAATAAATGTAAAACATGTGAATATCTAATCACTACGGTTTTAGCTATATTGATGCTTGGAGAGTAATATATCTCACAATTGTGTTTTAGCTTTATGGGCGCTTGGAGTTTTACACAACTATTCATTAGTGCTTTGCAAAGTGTATATTTTAAACATCCCACTTTTCAAGCATCGAAACATTAATAACTAGTCATATCAATTTCCAATGATCTAAATTTAAATGATCAGATACATAAATCTAAAACAAAACTTTTATATTTTGCACCTTGAAAGCATTAAATAATGAGGTATTTCCGTCTCAAAGAATTGATGATGAGATATATAAACAATATTATTAAAATACGTACGTATGCAAGAGGACCTGAGTTAGACGAAAAATAAAAAAGGGACATTCAAACTCATAATTCGACATCAAACTAACAATGTGAAAGCAAAAAATCGAAATTCGATGAAAAGACAAACAACAGTACACAAAACACAACATTTCACAAAACACAACATACAAAACTGAAGACTGAACAACATAACCACAACAAAAAACCGATTACCATCATACATTAATTAAATACAACACTCTCTAAACATTAAGTTTGTTCATAATACATACCTGATACCGGAGGCGGACATGTGACTGGGGGCGGACATGTGACTGGGCTAGGACAAACTGTAGGCATCACAGGTGATACTATAGTTCCTGTCATCATACCTCTCACTGTATTCATAACATTCATTGCCATCATTTGACCAACAGACATCATACTTCCATCAGATGATCTGATTGGAAAAGATAATCCAAGTAAAACACCGACTGCCAAACATACTTAAAAAGAGAAAAATGGCGATTATCACTTTTAGAAGATAAGAACATATTACAGAATGGATAAAATCATAAGTTTAGATAGTGAGGACGATCAATTACTATTATAAATTTTCAGTTATATAAGCCGGTGTTACCTGTGAGAGATCCGTCCGTATAAAATATTATTTGAGTTCCCAGCATATTTCTGTTGAAAGAGTAATGGAAATACGGAAATGTTTCCGATGTTGATTCTGTTGCTAGAGATTTTAGTTTTGACGTTATTGTCATTGTGAGCAACAAAATGCTATCTTCGGCTAACGTTTTTTTTTTATCTTTTTTTTTCTTTGCATATCAAATATTTTTTAAATACAAATTTATATCTTGAAACGACGAACATACAAAGTCAGCTGATTATTATTGATTTATCTTTGTGTACCAGATACAAAAATATGCCTGATTGATTGATGAGTTTAGTTTCCCAAAAGAACACATTTTGTCTGCTATAAAATAGGATGTTGAATAAGCACTAGATCAATTTTGAAACGATACGGAACTTATTTTCATTGCTAACTGTCAATACTCTTTTGGTAATCATATACAACAAATTTGCAAGGAACCATTTGATGCTCTTCCTTATATGTTACGTAAAATCCCGCGAGAAACAATACTGGAGAATAGAAATTATACTTGAAAAGATTTCTGCGCATATAAGAGATCTTTCAGTCTGTTTAACAGACAACAAATGTCGTCTTAGTTCAATAAGTGAGAGAGGCAGAAGAAACGTTCAAACTCAAAAATCGAAGAATAACTGGCAAACACCATGGCATAACACTATAACAACGTTTAATGTCAATAAGAACCTAAATTTTCAAATCTTTTGTTAAACCAGGTTAAACCATCTATGCCTTGAAATAGATTAACCTTTGTGTTTCGGAATAATATTAATATATGACTAACAGTACATATTCAAGATTACGTTTAAATAATATGTTATGGAAGCACAGACGCGCTGACAACTGGACTGGAAGTACTCGCATAGACAAACCGTTATCCAACAGATGCGTCGTAAACGGTGTCGCTTCATTTGGAGCCAATGTTTAACCTTGTTATTTTGTATATTTAATGAACATGATGAATTTATGAGCTTTGAACATTGTCGGACTATTTTTGCTTCTATTTCTGTCTTAATTTAAAACAAACAGCCTTAATGTAAGGAATTTAAACTTACATCCATTTCCGGGAGAAGTTTGACTACCTTCATTTAATAACAAAAGTGTGTTATCGAGACGACCATCGACGATATCGACAGGTTCATTATCTAGGGCAAACGGTCCATTGGCGACGAAGACGCGGTTATTTTCAACCTGAACAGGAACCTGGCCATGTACAATCTGGAAACAGGCATACACACACATAAACACAGTAACGGCCAAACCTACAATAAAAAAAAAATTAGTATCCGATACAATGCATGTAACATTGTAAACTGAATCAAGGTCTTTAAAAACATCAAAGGTCTCACAAAATGTTTTGACTATAAACTTTTGTTATCGATATCCATTAAGCTTTGTCCTGCACATAGATACATTACATGTAAATTTATAATGTGTTGTAAGATAATGAAGGTTCTAATTGAAATACATAAGACAACAGTCCATAGCCAATTAAGCAGAACATTACAGATTCATTAACATGAACCTCAAACGAAAAAGTGAATTCAGACACACCAGTTTTCCTGCTCTGTTAGAAACACTCGTTCCGTCACTCCTTAATTCTATGCAGTACAATGAGTTTCGTAATTGTTACAATAACGTATCGTTACAGATGTAAATTCCTCTACATCATTCCAGACTGAAGTTTGAAATATAGCCAATAGATTTAATAAAATACTTATATGATTTAGATTTTTTATAAACTAGTAATATTTATCCATATGGTTCAGTGTAAAGACCTCATAAATACTTAGGAGAAAACATGCCTTCTTCATTGGAACTAATTTACAACAATAAAAAAAAATTACATCGCTTTGATACATTACGTTACAATAACTTCTTTGACGGTCATTTGCCCACTTTTTCCTATTTTATATTTTTTTTTTACTTCCATTTGTACAAAGTGTTTATTCCGTCAGGTTTTAAAGTCTTTAATCTTTTAGTCCAAAAAGGCTTCTTTAGTTTTTCGGTAAATTTGTATGACCAATGCTCTTACTATTGCAGTGACTTTTAGATTTTCAACCGAATGGATATGTTATAAGAAGTGGTTTGCTACTGGATCGTCTATTTGTTTATTCTTATTTTTGAAAAGTTCAATAACATTCTTCGATACAGTGTATTGATAGTAATCACTGAAAGTATTTTGTTGTTTTCTTTCTTTCTTTTGTATTGTAGAAGATCGACCCGGTTTAACATATCGACTTTTTTCAATTGATCTTTAGTTGACGAAATATAATTTCCTCGTTTTTGCCGATGCGTTTTTATTTCTTCTCTTCTTCTTTTATAATTTTCTTCTGTTGAGCAAATTCGTTTATAACCAATAGCGAGTCCTTAAGGTATATTATTTTTGACTATATTTGGAGGCTCGACGAAACATATAGGCAATGGTGCTTATTTGTGAATTTTGCATAAAGATCTGTTTTCAATTTTCATTTTTCTATGACTACAAAAACACCTAGAAAATTCGATTTTTTTCAGTTGAATAACGTAATTTAGTTTGAATTCGCGACTGTTTGACAATTTGTAAAATCTTTTTAACTCTTCTAAACCGTGTTCCCATATTCTCCACACGTCATCAACATATCTTCAATATGAATACGGCTGTAAATTACTTTTTTAACAAAATATTCTTCCCATTGTCCGAGGTAAGTCCAAGCATAATTCTGATTCTACCAGAAAATATACAGAAGATGATATTATCAAAATGCTGGACTTTTTGATCGACAATATATTTGTTGAGTTTGGAGGATTGATATTTTAACAGACAGTCGGTATTCCAATGGGTACTAATTGTGCACCCCCTACTGGCCGATTTGTTTTTGTACTCGTATAAAGCAAAATTCATTCAGAACCTTCTAAAAGACAAAAAGAAAAAGCACCTTACGAAATTCTTTAATTTTACTTTCAGATATATTAATGATGTCCTCTCACTGAATAACCCATATTTCAGCCAGTACTTACATCTCATATATCCCAAGTAACTTGAAATTAAGGATACTACTGATACTAGAAGGACTACTTCATACCTTGATATTGACAATATTGACACAGATGGACGACTTTACACTTAAATCTATGATCAGTTGATACATTATGCTCGTTCATGTTCACACTATACGGACTTCATATACAGAAGAGTGCTCCTTTCGCAGAAACTGCTCCAACAAAGTTATGACACTCTGCAAAATTTATGGACACCATCACGAATTGGTTGATCCATACGATGTGTCTGTGTCTAAACTAACAAAGAACATGTTTTCCACGTCTTAGATTATGGTTTACAAATCTGGTCTTTTAAGTACCGAATTGACCTATTCCCGAATATGACAGTTTTACTGAGTGTTAATTCGCACTGCTATAAGACGTGTATTTGTTTATCCAGCGTTCATGTATTTAGTTACGAAGTTTTATTTGTAATTCTGATCGGATATTGTTTTGTGTCTTACAATGTATCGTTTGTAGTTGTGATTCTATCTTTTTTTTTCTATTCGTATGTAAAAGAAAAGATAATTAATCACCAAATTCATTTGTATTATTTTAGTTTAAAGCAACTATGTGCACAGGATTTATTTTATCCATTTTTTAGAAATTTACCTGTGACGTAACTTTTCGTGGCGTTGATCCATTCGTGTTACAGACACACACTTCGTAATTCTATAAAGCTGTTTTTGTGTACTGTCCTAAATTATTTTAGTTATTCGTTGTTATTCTGTGGATAACATGTCGAAATGTACTATTATATTATTTATTTGTGTATTTCTCTGTCTTTGGTGTTTTTGCATTTATTTGTAATATGTTCCCGTCATGTAATATTGTCATTTTAGCAGTATATTCAACATTGCCATAAAGCGCGGAGGTTTGGCTTGCCACAAAACCAGGTTCAACACACCATTTCTTCTTAAAATGTCCTGTACCAAGTCAGGAATATGGCAGTTGTTATTTAATAGTTCGTTTCTATGAATGTTGCATTGTTGTTTGTTGTTTGTTGCACTTCTGTGTTCTGTTATTTCGTTGTTTTCCTCTTATAGAAGAGGGACGAAAGATATCAGAGGGACAGTCAAACTCATAGATCAAAAACAAACTGACAACGCCATGGCCAAAAATAAAAAGACAAACAGACAAATAATAGTACAGATGACACAACATAGAAAACTAAAGACTAAGCAACACGAACCCCACCAAAGACTGGGGGTGATCTCAGGTGCCCCGGAAGGGTAAGCAGATCCTGCTCCACATGTGGCACCCGTCGTGTTGCTTATGTTATTAAAAATCTGGTAAGTAGTCTTATTCGGTAGGTCACATTCGTGAAAAGGGAAGGGTATTGTTGTTACGACATAAGGAACATATCCGATATCATCTGTGAAACGGTTATTCCATAACGGTCAACCAACTCGTGATGGCGTCCGCAAAATTTACGAAGGGATGATTTCAACTTCACATTTTAAGTCTTGGTTTAATAGCTTCTTTGTGAGCAGCAATCATCTATCAAGGAAACATAGCTGATGTGTTTCCCTCGGTTTTAGTTTGTAACCCGGATTTGTTTGCTTTCAATCGATTTATGACTTTTGAACAGCGGTATACTACTATTGCCTTTATTCATGCCGGATGGGAACCAACAGCTGTTCCTCCATTTTGTGGAAAGTGTTTTCCGTTAAAGCTGAAATTATTATTTTCAATGACTAAGTCAATCATTTTAAGAACATCTTCTGTTGGGATTGACTTATTAGATCGATTTTATAATGCTGTTGTACACGTTCCTCATGCTTCTTTCCGTGGTACACTTGGATACAATGTAGTAACATCTAAACAAAACATTATTGCGTTCTCTGGTAATGGCTGTTTAATTTCATTTAATTTGTTTAAACAATCTGTTGTGTCTTTAATAAAGGTGGGCAAGTTTCGAATATTTTTCGAAAGCTCGTTTTCCACTCTTTCCGCGATCTTTTCTTTCAGATGGTTCCGTCCTCTAATAATTGTTTTGGATTTGTTTGTACTTTTCCAGGACATATGTTCTTTTGGCAGTCGATATTTTTCTTTGTCTATCACTTCTCTTTTACATAAATTTAGAAAAAAAGATCTTTGTCTGTTTCTTTGTAAGTGTCGTTGTTATTCAATTATTTTTCAACTTCTGGTTTGTAGTTTTCTGTGTTCATTATAACAATGTCGGAGGATTTATCGCTCGGTCGTATCACGATGCTATCATCGAATAACAGTTCCTGCATTGCCTTTTCTTCTTTCGTGGTAATGTTCATTTTAAATTTTCGACTCAATCAGCTCAATATTTCATCTTTTACCGTTTGTATATATTCGTCTCACCCTCGTTCTCTTCCAGGCGAGAGGGTGAAATTGCTTGATTTCTTGAATTTAGAAAATTCGTTATTCGAATATATAACTTTGACATTAACTATTTCAAAGAAAAAATAACTTATTAAATGAAACAAATTATGATCATAGCGCAATAATATTAACTCTAACAAAAGGTTTTCCTTTGAACAATGTGGTGTACATTATTACTTTATTCTTGATTTTATTTTAAACATATTTTCGGATAACAATATCTGGTTTCCAACGAAAGATAAAAAACATGAAATATAATGTGATGCAAAGTATTAACTTGGGTTTGTTTTAACTTTGACTGATCCGCTGGTAAACCTTGGGATTGGTAGTTCTTTAGTGAATCTTTTGATAGAATTACAACGGCTATAAAAGTCTACATTCACCCGACACTACCCAGATCTTCTTTATTTCCAAGACAAGTATTTGCCAATTCATGTACCTTTCAATTCTACTTTGATAATATTTATGTTATTTGATGTACCTTTCAACCCTACTTTGATAATATTTATGTTTAATATATGTACCTTTCCGTTCTACTTTTGACAATATTTATGTTAATTTATGTACCTTTTAATCCTACTTTTGACAATATTTATGCTAATTTTTCTGTCTTTCCATCCTACTTTTGACAATATTTATGTTAATTTATGTACCTTTCCACACTACTTTGACAATATTTATGCTAATTTATGTACCTTTTCACATTACTTTTGACATTATTCATGATAATTTATGTACCTTTCCCTTCTACTTTTAACAATATCTATGTTATTAAATGTACAATTCGATCCTACTTTTGACAATATTTATGCTAAATCATGAACCTTTGCATCCTACTTTTGACAATAATTATGTTAATTTATGTACCCTTCCGTTCTACTTTTG